TCAAACTCACACCTCTGCGATCAAGAGTCACATGCTCTACCAACTGAGCCAGCCAGGTGCCCCTGATCATAATTTTTAAAGTGGAGATTTCAAATACAAGACGTCCCATGGTAAGAAATCTCAGGAGAGCTCCTCTGTGCCATTATAAGCTATATATTTAGAAAATCAGCACAGGTTCTAGTGAAAACTAAAAGCTGCAACTTCTCAGCAACAGCTTCCACTGAAATGATGCTAGGTACAAGGGGAACCGTAGCTTTTAAAAAAGAGAGGAGGGGCGCCTGGGTGGCGCAGTCGGTTAAGCGTCCGACTTCAGCCAGGTCACGATCTCGCGGTCCGTGAGTTCGAGCCCCGCGTCGGGCTCTGGGCTCATGGCTCAGAGCCTGGAGCCTGCTTCCGATTCTGTGTCTCCCTCTCTCTCTGCCCCTCCCCCGTTCATGCTCTGTCTCTCTCTGTCCCAAAAATAAATAAACGTTGGGGGAAAAAAAAAAAAAGAGAGGAAAGATTCTTCGAGGCGGTGATTTTCGAGCTGGATGTTAACATCAGAAGGGTTTCAACAGGCAGAGGAGTGGGAGACGGGGAGGATGCTTGAAGCAAGGGAAAGTTCTTCCGCAAATGAGGTTGGGAGGAGAAAAAGGGGGGTGCGTTTGCAGGGCAAGTGAACTCATGTGGCTGGAGGCAGTAAGGAGACAGGACAAAGCGAGTCTGAGGAAGGCAGGGGGAGTACGTGAGAGCACTAGCGAGCAGAGCTGAGCCCCAGCATGGTGGGGGTGGGGGTGGGGGTAGAACCTCTCCCAGACGGGAGATCGGATTCACCTACAGCCAGGCGGATCACGCGCGACCTTCCCTTGAACCCCGCCAGGAAATCACCGCGAAATCCCTCATTCCCATAAATTAAAGACGACCACGGTAGCAAGACAGATCGACAGATCGAGGGCAAACAACAGTGGCCTCACAGCTGTCCCTGCCAGCAGGGATCTTTAACACCCATGGGCCCTGGGGCTGGGAGTGTTTGCGGTAAGACAACATCACACTGGTCTCCTAAATCAGTTTTGTGCTGTGAACCAACAGAAGGTCTCTGAGTGGGAGCCAGAGACCCCTGCTTTCCTGATCATTTATTTAATCAGCTCCACTTCTAGTGGGGGTGATAGGGGAGCAGCTGGGACTGGCAGAAGGAGAGGGGAGAGCAGAGAACGTTCCTCTTGAAACAAACTTCCAGTAACTTTCTGTTCCTGAAGCCGCCTCCGCCGGCCAGTATGGGGCCCTTTCGCCAGGCACGACTCACCCCCCAACCTCTCCAGCAGAACTCTGGGGTCCAAGCTCCTAACTGAGGACAACTGGATTTTGGGACCAGGGATAACTGCAAGACGTTCCCATGTCTTATACCCCAAGTTCAGCAATTTCTGAGTCAGTGTATTTGAAATATTCAATTCCGTCGACCCCCTTATGTTCTGAAGGTTGGTTCTGGAAACATGGGCCTAATAACATTCAGAGTGGCTATTTATTGAACTCATGTGCCAGGCACAGTGCTAATCTCAGGGATCAGTGCATTTAACCTTCACAGTGACTCTGTATGGAAGGTGCTTTTGTTATGATACCATTCTGCAGCTGGGGAAACAGAGGCTCAAAGCAATTAAGAAGTTTTCCAAAGTCACGCAACCTGTCTGCCTGCCTCACGAAGAATTCTGGAAAACACATTTCTTTTTTTTTTTTATGCTTATTTATTTTGGAGAGAGACAGAGTGTGAGCAGGCAAGGGGCAGAGAGAGAGACAGAGACACAGAATCTGAAGCAGGCTCCAGGCTCTGAGCTGTCGGCACAGAGCCCCATGCAGGGCGTGAACCCACAAACAGTGAGGTCACCACCTGAGCTGAAGTCGGACGCTCAACCAATTGAGCCACCCACGCGCCCCATGGAGAACACATTTCTAATCCATGGTTGATTAATCTTCAGAGATAGTTTAGCAAGGGCATGTGAGACACACAGCGCAAAATGCAGGTGGTGTCAAACCCTCAGTAATCAAGAGAAATAATATCTGAATGCAACGTTTTTAAAAAATCAAAGTTAAGGGGCCCCTGGGTGGCTCAGTTGGCTAAGCGTCCGACTTTGGCTCAAGTCATGATCTCGCAGTTCGTGGGTTCTAGCCCCCCGTCGGGCTCTGGGAGCCCGGAGCCTGCAGCCTGCTTTGGATTCTGTGTCTCCCTCTCTCCCCACCCCTCCCCCCCCCCCCGCCCCCGCTTGTGTTCTCTCTCTCAAAAATAAATAAGAATAAATAAATAATTTAAAAACTTAATGTGGAAAAAAAAATCCCTGCGGAACAAAATATCAGAATTTTAAACAGAGAATGCAAGCCGTGACTCAGGATCAGTGGAGTGGGATGCGGGTTCTTTCTGGGTTTGTTTCCCGTGAGCTGGATTCCAGATTCCTAGAGCTGGCTATGAACCTTGTTCACCTGCTTTCCCCTTTCTTCGGGCTCTTAAGAAGCTGATCTTTCCTGCCTCGGCCCCCTCCAGTTCAATTCCAAAGGGAAAGACTCAAGCAACTAGCTGGGCTGTAAAGATTCCCATGCTGAACGGAGAGAGTGGGTTGGGAAGCCTAAGAATGAATGAAACTCAGCTTGCTGTGCCCTGCCCGACTGCTGTTGCCAACGCTGCTGCTCCTGAGGGGACCCAGGCGGACGGGATCCCGGGGCCCATGAGAATCTGCACCGACCCCACCCCCCACCAGAGGCTGACCCTGTGAAGAGCTGCAGGGCATTCAGTGGAGGGTGTCCTTGTGCTCTTGGGATGGTCACCTGCTTGGCACGGGAGCTCACTCCCTAATGCAGTGCCACAGGCCACTGGCCCGAAGCAATGATGACACATTTGGGTCTGGCTGAAACACAGAATGATTTTGCCTCAGCCCAGCCCCTTGCCTGTGCCTTCTGGTGCCTCGGCTCCCAGTTCCCTGGAAAGCGGCTGCCAGCCCCTCCCCCTCCCCCGGGTGGCTCAATCGGTTAACCACCGGCTCTTGATTTTGGCTCAGGTCATGATCTTGCAGGTTCGTGAGACCCAGCTCCGCGCCAGGCTCCGTGTGCTCTTAGTGCGGAGCCTGTTTGGGATTCTCTCTCTCCCCCTCTCTCTGTCCCTCCCCCCGCTCATGTGCGCTCTCTCTCAAAATAAATAAATAAACTTAAAAAAAAAAAAGTGGCTGGATGCATCGGGGGAAGATGTGGGCAGGGGAGGTACCGGGCAGGCGCCACGGAGGGAAGAGCTCTTCAACTGGGCACAGAGCCAAGTTGCTGAGAGTCCCTTGGCCAGGAGAAGCAGAAAGTGCCCCATCTCGGCACATCTCCAGCCAGGGCTAGGAATAGTTCAGGATTTAAAGCTGGAGATTTAAAGGGCCCTCCTATCAGGCAGCCAGGAGGCCTGTGGTCACTATCATCCATCGTGAGCGTGTTGAGGGGCTTCTTTAAGCACGGAGAGTGAATATTTCCGAATGAGGATTCTGTTTGAAATCTGCTGAAGGGTGCGGGCTTTAGGGTGTGAGGTCTAGGGTTTGAGCTCGGTTCTAGGGTTACCAGATTTGCCCGGGGTTGAGGGGTTTCCTGGGATGCTGGATTTTCTTTTTTTTTTTTTTTATTTTTTATTTTTATTTATTTATTTTTTTTTTAATTTTTTTTCAACGTTTATTTTTATTTTTGGGACAGAGAGAGACAGAGCATGAACGGGGGAGGGGCAGAGAGAGAGAGGGAGACACAGAATCGGAAACAGGCTCCAGGCTCTGAGCCATCAGCCCAGAGCCCGACACGGGGCTCGAACTCACGGACCGCGAGATCGTGACCTGGCTGAAGTCGGACGCTTAACCGACTGCGCCACCCAGGCGCCCCGGGATGCTGGATTTTCAATGCTAGCCCCGGAAAAGTCCTGGGCAAATCCAGATAAGTGGGTCACTATCTAGACTCCATTCTAGCAGGGTTCCCCTCAAACTCTGTCTCTCCTTTTCCACGCGTATAGGACGGAGATACTGATCAGACCTGCTGTACCAACTTCACACACTGGCGGGACCCAAAAGAGCTAACGTGTTTCCTGCAGCATCTCGGA